TCTCCCCACACCTCCCCACACCTCCCCACACCTCCCCACACCTCCCCCCACCTCCCCACACCTCCCCACATCTGCCCACATCTGCCCACATCTCCCCACACCTCCCCACATCTCGCCACATCTCCCCACACCTCCCCACACCTCCCCACATCTCCCCGCATCTCCCCACACCTCCCCACATCTCCCCACATCTCCCCACATCTCCCCACATCTCCCCACACCTCCCCACACCTCCCCACATCTCCCCACATCTCCCCACACCTCCCCACATCTCCCCACACCTCCCCACACCTCCCCACACCTCCCACACCTCCCCACATCTCCCCACACCTCCCCACACCTCCCCACACCTCCCCACACCTCCCCACACCTCCCCACATCCCCCCACACCAGGTGCGCGAGCCACGAGCTCTTCTTCGTCGCCGAGACCAACGCGGAGCCTCCTCCCCGGCTGCCCCCGCACGCGCACATGGTGCCCCCCTTCACCGTGCAGCTGTGGATGTGGATGGTGCCGCTCGGCCACGACTTCATGAACGGCGGCAAGGTGCGGCCGTCGCAGGCAAGCTCGCCCGAGATCGCGCGCTGAGGCACCTCGGGCATCTCTCGGGCATCTCTCGGACTCGGCGAGGTGGATGGGTGGGGAGCGAGGGGGCGAAAGGGTTCAGTGCGGTAGAGGGTCAGCTCGGGGCGCGTGAGCCGGACTTGTGGCGTGACCACCCCCAGTCCTTTCTCTGCGTTCTCGCACATGCCGGCTCCGGAGCGCGCAGTGCTGCCAACGCCCGCCTCTCTCCAGCCCTCGGGCTCGCGGCCGTGAGTAGGCGGCCTTCCACATCGAGCGGTCTGTCATGTACTCGGACGCGGGCTTCGACGTCTCCAAGTGCGGCCGCTTCCTCGCGCTGTGCGAGCTCGACACGGCCACCGCCAGCGGGTTCGCCGCCACGGCAGCGGCGCCGGCAGGGGGCCCGTTAGCACGGTCTCAGCCGCGCGCGCGCCGTGGACAGGTACCACCTGAAGACGGTGTCGCTGCAACCGCGTTCGCTAGGGCAGGTCTTGCAGACCGTCGCTCTGCCCAACTGCCCCTACGTCACGTCGGTCCAGTTCTCGCCGCTGGTTGCTTCGGTCCTCATCGGGTGCGGGTAGCCTGGGGGAGAGGGGGGGGGGGGGGGGGGCCAGGGGGGGGGGGGGCCAGGGGGGGGCCCCCCTAACACGGGGGGGGAAATTCCCCCCCGGGGAAAGGGTCCCATGGAAACTCTGTGGGGCACAAAAACCGGCCCGGGTGCCCTGTTTTGGGGTCCCCCCCCGTTTGCCCCCCCCTCCGCCTCCACTTTCCAGGAAAATTTTCTCGGGGGGCCCCCCCCCAAAAATTGGGGCCCCAGGAACGGCCCCAATTCCCCCATATTCCCCCAAAAAGGGCCCCCCCAGGAAAGGCCCCTTCCCAAACCCCCCCCCAAAAGGAACCAAAGAGCCCCCCCCGAACGCCGTTTTCCGGTGGGCCCCTTTCCGGGGGCAAAAAAAAAAAAAGGGGGCCC